TTTTTGTAGGCTACAGGCTAAAGACACAAACATGACAATAACATATAGGAGATGACATTCCCGTCTCAGAAGAAATAAAGATACAGTCAGTCGGATCACTTCAACATTTCACAAACAAAAATAGGTTGACAATCAAATATCACCAAAAACACAACATGGCAAGCATATTTATTGTTCCTTTAATCCCACTCTTCGTTAGAGCTAATTATTTCCCATTTCATGGAAATTGTATCTACTCTTCAAACACCTTAAATTAAGATTACTACTTGATTGACTTTTAAAAATATGTATTTTAGCCAGAAGAATAGTTGTATTTATTAACTGTGTGCGGTCTTCATCTAAAAGCCCAAAAAACATAGGGTGTAAATGTAAATTCAATATTGAGTGTCTTCAGCCAAGTTGGAATCTTAGACCACAGACTTGCAACATGGACAATAAAAAAATAAATGCATCTGGTCTTCCTCATCAAAGATTTGTTTTTTTTGCCCGTCCGTCCCGAATGGTTTCTTTATCTCTAAACCCTGCATACTGCTCACTTCCTCTGCAGTAAGTCCTCTGCATACATAATGTTTCCTTCTCTCAGCATGTAAGAGAAGGAAAAACGAGGAGGTAATCATCAGCTCAAACAATGCTTTGGTATGTTTCCCTGTAGACTATTAGACCTTGTTTTTATACAGTAAACATTACTTGTGCCTCTCAATTACATTAATGTGAACAGATCACAAAATGATAAGCAGCAAAAGTTATTTTTCTTTTCCCTCTTGCATTAACATCTTTCAAAACTTGAGAGTAATCTTCTGCCAAGTAAATTGAATATTCTGAGTCTCTGCTTGCTATGCTTTGCTGCACTTGTGTATCTTATTTCAGAAATGATTTCTTGAGCATGAGAATGTCCTGACCACTCCATCTGTATCTTAGCATGCAAACATCTTTTAATTATCTTGACACAAGGCGTACATGATGGCAGAACGGCTGGTTTTTGATTTCACTGTATTTGATTTATTGGTGCATTCAAAGAGCAAAGAAATATACATAATTATGCCTGAAATGTTTCCACGTGGCCGCTTACAAATGTATAATATAATCAACAAGCAAGACATGCAGGAGGACATCTCTTTTACACATGAATAAATAACAATATCAGGCAGTTGTGTAGTGTTCATCTGGACGATTCCCATTTGTAATTTGATTATGCAAACATCCAATTATAATGCCTCATGCTGCATGATCTTTTTGAGGATCATGCAGCCAATCCAGAATGAATCGTATATTTCAAACATCCTGTATGTTCTTATTTGTATTGCATGCAATGAAGCAGACAGTGTTTCTGTATGTGGGCATTCAGTCATATGTAATGATGTTTTTACCAAAATGTATAATGTCAAATATGTTGTAGGTCTTAGCTCCTTTTTTAGTGTCAGTCATTCTTGTAACAAGTCAAGTTTTCTATCAAGGGTTCCAACCACCACTTGCTCAAAGCCTGTTATCAAATCTAAGTCATTCAAGTGCATCAATGCTTGTTTTAAGTAGCACCGTTTAAGGTAAGGAATTTAGGTTTAACAATCGGAGGTGAGCAGTTTTGTGATTCAAGAATCAATGATGTCACAAGGTAGGCGGGG